AAAAAAAAAAAAAAAAAAAAGGGGGGGGGGACAAAAGAAAAGGCAGATGGGAGTAGATGAAAATGAAACAACAGACGAGGCCTTTGGTGTTTTGTATGTTTTTGAAATCGCTGAAACTGACATGGGCTGCTGATGCATCCAGCCATACATGGGTTGGTCTATCACCTCATATACGACACCGAGCACCTCACGAGCACCGAGCACCTCACAGCCCTTTCTCACCGTCCTTTCAATCGCTTCAAAGTTGGTTTAACCAAAATTTCATTACTTCAACAATGCTATGTCATGTCCTACTCTTTACCCATTATTATTCACTAAAATTGTTATGTACAGAAGACAAAGAAGAAGATAATCGTCTGTATTTATGAAAATTGTCATCGCCTACTTGATTCAACATTACATTTTTAATTTCAACTTCAGGGCGTCTTTCCACTTATCTTCTAGTGTCACAGTCGTACTTTTTTAATCGTGCGGCGTCGTGATCTTGACACGCTCACGACTAGCCTTAATAAGGAGAATTCAAACATATATTCATTTTTTTGCACATCCCAAACATCCATCGATCCAGATTCTGTTGAGGTATTGGTCCTCGTGTGCCCATGCCATGTTATTTACAACCTCTAACACCTAGTTGGGGTGCAATAACAGCACACTCGTACTGCCTAGGTATTATTGTTGAAAGATCTATTTCAAAAGAAGTTGCTCAAGACACTCGTCTCGAAACACTCACACTTATTGTGACACACATATGGACAGTACACATAGGCCACAAGGCTTAAGTGTAATGGAGAGCCGACACCATATCTCCCCGTAAGTTACATTTGAGATATTTTCGATCCTTCTTACTTGCTCTATTTTGTTTACATTTTCAATCACATGTGATGGGGAAGGAGACAGTTTTTTTAAAAAAATTATTATTAAACACTTAATTTTTTTAGTTGCATAGTTGCAAACATCCTGACAGCAATGATATAAAAATTTGGAAATATTGCAATAAATAAATAATTTAAAATGATTTTGGTTGGCTATTTTTGGGTTGTGGAAGCGATAAGATGTGGACTCCGTGATATGAGCCAATGGAGGGCTTGAATTAAATTAAATTCAATCCAACGGCCCATATTCAATTTCATTGAGTTAATTAGATTTGTTTTCCACTGACGTGTTCGAGTTGGCCTTAGCGTACTTATTTTATTTTATTTTATTTTTCTGTTCAGAGACAAGCCGCTTTGAATATTACCACGTCGTTTTAATAAATTATCTTGAAGGACCAATTAAATTAAAATGGAACAACGAATAATATCGGACATTCATTAATTAAAGGTATGGTTATAATGACATGAGCGGGCCATGCTACCATTGTCCTCACATCATGGCCTTGCGGTTTAACCATCCCATCTCATTAATATAAATAATTTTAAACTTCTACCCAATTTTTTTTTATAAATTTTAAAAACGTTTTTAAAAAAGTTAAAAAAATATCCTTACTCTTAGTATCACGTTTCAAAATATACTCGTAAACTTTCAAAAGTAATGTTGAAAAAATTGGAGATGATATATGAAGTGTCGACGTACTGTTTTTGTTCAAATTTATAAAAGTTCAAATATATTAATAATACTTTTTTATAGAGGATATTTTTTAAATAACTATTAACTATTTTCATCCAATATTAATGAGGTAACAACGGTACAAAAAATAAGAAAAAAAAAAATAATTGACCATCCCTCCTTCAATCTCTCCACTCCTTCTCTAAAAATACTTCAATCATCTGGTATCAATGATTCATTAAATAAAAATGGTTTTAGGTAGATTAAGGATGTTCCTAAGAATTTTGTGACAGAAAAAAGAAAACTTAGAATTAATTAAAATGGAAAAAAAAAATGTTGTAAACATAATTGAAAAAAAATTAAAATATGGGATATGATCCAATGAACCTAAAATAATATTGACTTATTTTTTTTATTCAAGTTTTATTACCAAATATAAGGTATATTTGAATTTTTATTGAGTCAATTAAGTTTATATTTAAGATAGGTAAATACTCGATATAAGTGAGAACGAATTCAAAGGATGAAAGCAATCAAATTTGTAGCTAGATAGAACTCTGGCTAAGGCCAACCAAGCAAGTGACTTTACGGTAGGATAGACTAGAAATTGTAAAAGATACAATTTATGGTGTATGGGATATGATGATGTATGAACTGTATCGTATGATGCCGTATACTAGTATATGATGATGTATAAGTTATAATGCTTGATGATGTGCCTAATTATTATTATTAAGCTCTTATGAACTTCTCAACATTAATATCACTTCAATTTGCAAAAGAGACAGATTCGATTTGACTAAATATTAATCATTAAAATAGAAAGAAAAAAAAAACGACAATTTCATTTTGAACTAACAAGCTATTGCGTTTTTTATTTTATCAAATAATTAAGAAAGAAACATTGACCAAATCTATAATTTTTATTACGAATAAAATAAAATTAGAAAGAAAAATAATAATAATAATAATAATGAGATACAGACAATGGGTCAAGTTTAAATAGGACTAGGGAGCCATTAGAGGTAGGATCAAGCATTCAGAGGAGAGAGAAAAAGGCGGCCCGGCCGCTGCAAAAACCGTTCTAAGTGTCGACAGAGCAGAGGAACAGAAAAACAGAGTGGTTCTAAGATGAGATCTGCTACCACTCAAGGCGATGTTCTTGAACCGTTGCTGCAGCCGACGCCCGATTCGCCGTTGCTGTCCGACAAGCATGAAACCAACGACGAACTCGAAAACATATTATCCGACACTCAGATGTCTGTCGTCCAGCGTTACACTCGAGCTACTTGGATCGAGCTTAAGCTTATGTTCTATTTGGCTGCTCCGGCGGTTTTCGTGTACATGATTAACTACCTCATGTCCATGTCTACCCAAATCTTCTCCGGCCACCTCGGCAATCTCGAGCTCGCCGCTTCCTCTCTCGGCAACAACGGCATTCAAATCTTCGCCTACGGCCTCATGGTATTCTGTTTTTAATATCAATTTCAGATTATTATTGTTATTGTTATTAATTTCTAAATTAAAATTTCCAAACAGTTGGGGATGGGGAGTGCAGTGGAGACTCTATGCGGGCAAGCGTTCGGCGCCGAGAAATACGATATGCTTGGCGTTTATTTACAGAGATCAGCCATATTACTGACGTTAACGGGCGTGCTTTTAACGGCTGTCTACATATTCTGTAAACCCATTTTAATATTTCTGGGTGAATCCAGGGAAATTGCATCGGCGGCTGAAATTTTCGTGTATGGATTGATTCCTCAAATCTTCGCATACGCTATAAACTTCCCAATCCAGAAGTTTCTTCAGGCACAGAGCATCGTGTTTCCGAGCGCGTACATATCGGCTGCGACGCTGGTGGTGCACGTGGTGTTGAGTTGGGTGGTTGCCTATAAAATTGGGCTGGGGCTGTTGGGAGTGTCGTTGGTTTTGAGCTTTTCGTGGTGGATAATTGTGGTGGGGCAATTTGTGTACATAGTGAAAAGTGAAAAGTGTAAAGAGACATGGAGAGGGTTCAGCACGAAGGCGTTTTCGGGGTTGGGGGGTTTCTTTAAGCTGTCGGTGGCGTCGGCGGTGATGCTGTGCTTGGAGACTTGGTACTTCCAGATTTTGGTGTTGCTTGCTGGACTTCTCGACAATCCTGAGCTTGCTCTTAACTCCCTTTCTATCTGGTACCTTTTTCCTCTTCCACACTCTCCATTATCTTTTCTCACTCAGGATAAGAATTCATAAACAAAAAGCAAAAAACTCGTCTTTTAAGTCACGAAATTGTTCTCATTCGTAGGTGGACATAGATAGTAATTTTCATTTCGTTCAAGTTTTTTTTATTACTATTATTCTCACACTAGATTAATAACCAAATAAAAGTAAAAATTTTGATTGATAAGTCCGTTGAAGATTATTATTGGAGTGAGTCCCAAGTTGGCTAATTTAGTAGAAGATTCTAAGTGCTAGAAATACTATTTCTATTGGTACCAGGCTTTTGAGAAGCTTAAAGTGCACAATATCATATAATTATAGAGATTCTTAAAAATGGATATTAAATAGAAATAGAATTGTAGGATTATTATTGGGAGTGAGTTTCCATGGACTAATTTAGTGGAAGATCATAGGTTTAATAGCTATGAATACTATCTCCGTTAAGATGAAGTCTTTGTAATATCTGTTAAGAGTCGTTTTTTAAAAATGGGTATCGATTAAAAATAGATGTCAACGATCTAGAAAAATTAAAATATAAGAACGGTGGAAGTATTTTATTGGAAATAATAAAGAAACAAGAACAGCGCCAGCTACCAAATACGGAACCCTTTTCTTTACCATTTTAATTAAATATTCAAATTATTTTTTAAAATTAAATTTAAAGGAATTATTCAAAATTAGGCTTATTCCTCATTTTTTTTTTTTAGAATATAGTATCGGTACTAATTTATTTCGAATTCTACCTTTCATTTAAATTTTATTATTTAATCTAATTTAATTTGACTATGTTCTGGTTTTACAGCACGACCATTTCTGGATGGGTTTTCATGATTTCAGTCGGCTTCAATGCAGCCGCAAGGTAACTTTTTCTCAATTTCTTTTAATGTTTATTTTTTCTGTTTTTAATCATTTCTTGTGTTCTTTGAAGGGATGTTTTCGTAATTTATCTCGATATAAAATCTTGATTTTTATCGATACTCATTAACATATCACTAATTTATACATAATTCAAGTCGTTTTAAGTATATTTTTATAATAAAAATGTCGAAAATATCCAATGAATTGTGGTGATTTTGTGTTGCAGTGTGAGAGTTAGCAACGAGCTGGGAAGTAGGCACCCAAAATCTGCAGCATTTTCCGTGGTGGTGGTGACTGCCATTGCCTTCATCATCTCTGCATTCTGTGCTGTAATTATACTCGCACTTCGCAATGTCATCAGCTACGTCTTTACAGATGGCCCCGTCGTGGCGGCCGCCGTGTCTGACCTCTGTCCACTCCTCGCCCTCACCCTCCTCCTCAATGGAATCCAGCCTGTATTATCTGGTACTACTTCAATTTTCACATACACCTTCCTGTGAGGATTATTGGGAGTGGGTTCCACATTGGTTAATTTAGTGAAAGATCATGGATTTATAAGTAAGAAATATTATCTCCATTGATACGAGCCATTTTGGGAAAACCCAAATCAAAGCCACAATAGCTTATGCTCAAAGTAGACAATATCATATTATTGTGAAGAGTCGTGATTCCTAACCTTTCCTCCATTCCATATATAACATTTTTTTTAAAAATAATTCATTTCATCTATTTTGATTTTGGGAAGGCGTGGCGGTTGGGTGCGGGTGGCAAGCTTTCGTCGCGTATGTAAATGTTGGTTGCTATTATGTTGTTGGAGTTCCCTTGGGTGCCCTCCTCGGTTTCTATTTCAAGCTAGGAGCGAAGGTACGATATATTTATTTACTTAGAACATAAACTCTCGAACATCGATTAAGATGGTGGAATGAATGAATTGTGCAGGGTATATGGCTGGGGATGATAGGTGGAACATGCATGCAGACAATGATTTTGATATGGGTCACATTTCGAACAGATTGGAATAAAGAGGTAATTAATTAATTAAGATAATTATAATTTTGAAAAAGGGTATAATAGTAAATTGCAATCTGATTTTTGTTTATAACCTTTTGAAGGTGGAAGAAGCAGTCAAAAGATTAAACAAGTGGGAAGACAACCCGCAAACTACTTTGAAGGGTTAAATTTCGCGGGTTCAATTCCTTCGGGTCGGGTACTCTCAGAAAAAGAAAAAAAGAAAAAAAGAAAAAAGAAATATATAGATATATATTTATATATATATATTTCTTTTTCTTTTTTATTCTGTCATCTAGATTTTCAATTCCTGCCATTTAGAAATAAGGATGCAATTGCTTACGTGGAAATTCTTGTTTGGTTGGTCCAAGTATTTGTTTTCAAAATTTTAGATCAAAATAATATTATTTCGGTTACTCATTATTACACGTACTTTAGAAGCAGTATTTAATTTAATTTAATTCATGTATTTTTTAATATATTTAAAAATTGGTTCATATAGTTCTTCATGGATAAAAGTAGTTCATTTGAGACGACATAAGTGTTAGAGAATTGTTGGGAGAGGAGTTATAGTCGATTAATTAACGGTTTGATAATTAATTTATAAGTAACAAATACGTTTCCATAGTTAAAGATAAACCAAAAATATATTTAAAAATATTTATATTAAAAATGAAGAATGTGTTAGTACTGTAACTTTGCTTTTGAATTTTTATAAAAGATCGATAGTATTTTTTACTTATAAATTTATGATTTTTCACTAATGGAACTCACTCCCAATAATTCTCAGCACAATAAATTTTGTATAATGGATGAAATTAATTTCTTTTTTAAAAGAAAACGTACGAGAAAAAACGTGCGATATTGAAAATCCAAAGGAAAAAAGGGAAAAAGTACTGTTTGTATGTATGGTGGTTCCCCCATCGCAGCTCACTGCTCACTGCGTCCTTGTTGAACACAGAACAGCCACAGAAACCTGGCTCAACAAACAACAATCTCAGAAACAAAAAAGGTTTCATTAATTTTTTAAAATAAAAAAAATACCCTTTTAAAATTTAAAATTATTGTTACAACTTTTAAAGAAGAGAGAGAAAAAAAAAAACAAGGCTTTCAGTTTGGGAGTAAAGAGGATGGGATCTGCTTTTCAAGACGATGTTCAACAACCATTGGTGGAACTACAGCAGTCCACAGCGGCATTGTCGTCGTCTCACTCAGTGTATGCCGAAACAAGCGACGAACTGGAGAAGATATTGTCGGACAACAATGGGTTGAGTGTCGTCCAGCGTTACAGTCGAGCTACTTGGATGGAGTTGAAGCTTCTCTTGTACCTGGCTGCTCCCATGGTTTTCGTGTACATGATCAGCTACCTCATGTCCATGTCCACCCAGATGTTCGCCGGCCATCTCGGAAACCTCCAGCTCGCCGCCGCGTCTCTCGGCAACACTGGCGTTCAACTCTTCGCCTACGGTCTCATGGTACGTACGCATTTACATTTCCCCCCTTTTCTCAATTTTTAGTTCATTGTGGTGAGAAATTTGAAATTGGGGTGTATTAAAACAGCTAGGGATGGCCAGTGCTATGGAGACTCTGTGTGGGCAAGCGAACGGTGCTGCGAAGTACCATATGCTTGGCATTTACTTACAGAAATCAATGATCATTCTAACTCTAACGGGCATTCTGTTAACGGTAATTTACATCTTCTGCAAGCCCATCCTTATCTTTCTTGGTGAGCCAGAGGATATTGCTTCGGCAGCTGAAACTTTCGTGTACGGTTTGATTCCGCAAATCTTCGCCTATGCGTTGAACTTCCCCATCCTCAAGTTTCTCAATACTCAGAACATAGTGTTTCCGAGCGCTTGCATCTCGGCCACGATGCTGTTGGTACACGCGCTGCTGAGTTGGGTGGTTGTGTATAAAATTGGGATGGGGCTGTTGGGGGTGTCGTTGGTGCTGAGCTTGTCGTGGTGGATTATACTGGTCGCCCAATTTGTGTACGTAGTTAAGAGCGATAGGTGTAAAGAGACATGGACAGGGTTCAGCACGCAAGCATTTTCTGGGTTGCTCGGATTCTTCAAGTTGTCCGTTGCGTCGGCGGTGATGCTCTGCTTGGAAACTTGCTATTTCCAGATTCTGGTTCTGCTTGCTGGTTTGCTCGACAACCCTGAGATTACTCTCGACTCCCTTTCCATCTGGTAATTTCCCTCCTACAAATAAAGATTTTTAGTTGAATTTGCATCAACATCTCAAATCTATGGTAGAGGAGAAAAAAAGAAACATTCTAAGGGCGTTGAAACTTCCTAAGGGTGTGGATTGTGAAGTCCCACGTCGAGAGTGAAACGAAACATTAGATCTAATAGGAGAACTGCGATGTCCCACGTTGGTTGGGGAGGAGAACAAACCACCCTTTATAAGGGTGTGAAAACCTTCTCCTACCAAATGCGTTTTAAAGCCGTGAGGGCAATCCCGAAAGGGAAAGCCCAAAAAAGATAATATCTGCTAGCGGTGGATCTGGGTCATTACAAATGGTATCAGAGCCAGACATCGGACGATGTGCCGCCTTCTCGCTATTTCCCGAAGGGGGTAGATTTGGGGGCCGTCCCACATTGGTTGGAGAGGAGGCCGTTGGGCCTGGAAGGTAGTAGATTTGGGGGCGGTCCCACATTGGTTGGACAGGAGAAAAAACCACCCTTTATAAGGAAGGGTGCTAGGGGAGCCGAGTAGACAATATTAACTACAGGTATTTTGATAAGCCAGGACCCTTGACTTAAAAATCTTGAGAGTATGTAAAAGTGGAAAAAGACAATAAAAATCATATCTGTTTGCTGGGCGCTTGGGGCGGTTACAATTTAACTCTACTGGTTTCAATAAATCTAATTATGTTGTGGGGTTTTGCAGCATGGCCATATCTGGATGGGTTTTCATGATTTACGTCGGCTTAGCCGTTGCAGCTAGGTAACTTTTTATAATACGAAACAAAAATGAAACGAACCAAAAACTACATTTGATGCATTGTATTGCAAGCAGTGTGAGAGTGAGCAACGAACTGGGAAGCAGGCATCCGAAATCCGCAGCCTTTTCTGCAGCGGTGGTGACTACCATCTCCATCACCATCTCCATAATGTGTGCTATAGCTGTCCTCGCACTTCGCAATGTCGTCAGCTACGCCTTTACAGATGGCTCTGCCGTGGCCGCCGCCGTCTCCGACCTCTGCCCAATTCTTGCTCTCACCCTCGTCCTCAACGGAATCCAACCCATCTTATCCGGTAATTTCCGCAACTTGGTATTTATAAATTAGCATTTATTCAATATTATTTGATTTTGCGAAGGCGTGGCGATGGGGTGTGGCTGGCAAGCTTTCGTCGCCTTTGTAAACGTCGGTGGCTATTATGTGGTGGGAGTTCCCTTGGGTGCTCTCCTGGGTTTCTATTTCAAATTTGGGGCTAAGGTACACAATTCTTGATTTTATTAGTTGGGAGTTTATAGAATTTAGTGGCTAATTATGTGCATTGTTTAGGGTATATGGTTGGGAATGCTAGGTGGGACTTTGGTGCAGACGGCCATTTTGATATGGACGACATGTCGGTTGGATTGGAATAAACAGGTAAGAAAATATGGATATGAACACTTGTTTTGTTCTTTTCTGTAGCATTTAGAATACATATTTTCAGAAATAATTTAGGAGGGAGATTATTAATTAAATAATAATGAAAATGCAGGTGGAAGAAGCTGCCAAAAGATTAAACAAACAACTGGAAGGACAGGAATCGATCTGAATCTTTGAATCAATACGAAGACAGCAAGTTATTCTGGCATTTTAAATCTTCTGTTGGTTTGTAGTAGAGCATCTCCAAGGCCTCAGATGCTAGTCTGTTAAGAACTACTTATCTCTATTTCTAGGACGATATTGTTTTTTATTTATAAATTCATGCTCGACACTCCTTTAAATACGTAATCTTCCTCTTAATTAACCAGTGTGAGATTACTCCTCACAATAATTTTCCACTAGAACGAAATGCACCATAGAGACCTCATTTTCTGGAGCTCTTGAACGATCTTTCCATGATAGAGGGTCGACTTCTTCTTTGAAGCCCTCGGACAAAGTACACTCTCCGTTCGACACTTCAGCTCCACAATAGCATGATAAGACTCAACTCCTTCTTCGGAGTGTATACCCTTTATTTGAAACTTCAGCTCTACAATGGTATGATATTGTCTATTTTGAGCCAAGTTCTAGTGACTTTACTTTTAATTTCTCCTAATAATTCTCATTATAATTATACAAATTCAAAAATTCAAAAGAAAAAAGAAATTTAGGGGTGTATTTAAAAAAAATAAAAATAAATAATTAAATCAACAAAATAGTATGATCAGAATTATAAATTGGAAACTAAAAATATGAATTAAAATTTTTTATAAACCATGTTTGTCTAATTACTGTAGTTGTCGTTAACTCGCGGAGAGATGAGTGCTATACATTGTTATATAGTATTGACTTCTTGGTGTGATTTCTGTGGTGCTTTACGGTCCTCGCCAAAAATAAGAAATTTAAAAACAAAAATCGTGTTTAGGAGGGCTCGAAGATGGGATCAACTGCTGCAGACAATCATCATCAACCGCTGCTGCCGGCGATGGCGGCGTTGTTGTCGTCTCAGTCACTATTTTCGAATGAGCACGAAACTAGTGACGAACTGGAGAAGATATTATCGGACACCAAGTTGAGTGCCGTCCAGCGTTACAGTCGAGCTACTTGGACAGAGATGAAGCTTATGTCCCACTTGGCAGCTCCGGCCATTTTGGTGTTCGTCATTAACAACCTCCTCTCCATGTCTACACAGATCTTATCCGGCCACCTTGGCAACCTCGAGCTCGCCGCTTCCTCTCTCGGCAACAATGGCATTCAAATTTTCGCGTACGGTCTTATGGTATCAATTATATGTCTCGTTTTCTACCTTCACTAATTTAGAAAATGATCATGAATTTATAAGCAAACAACGGATGACAGATGGGAATGGGAAGCGCGATGGAAACTCTATGTGGGCAAGCATATGGTGCGGAGAAGTACGCAATGCTTGGCATTTACTTACAGAGATCAGCCATATTGTTGACACTAACGGGCGTACTCTTAACAATTTTTTATATGTTTTGCAAGCCCATCTTAATCTTTGTGGGTGAACCCAAGGATATTGCTTCGGCAGCTGCAGCTTTCGTGTACGGTCTGATCCCTCAACTCTTCGGCTACGCTATAAACTTCCCATTCCAGAAGTTTCTTCAGGCTCAAAGCATAGTATTTCCCAGCGTATGTATATCGGCTGGGACGCTGGTGGTGCACGTGCTGCTGAGTTGGGTGGTTGCCTATAAAATTGGGTTAGGCCTGTTTGGAGTGTCGTTGGTGCTCAGCTTCTCTTGGTGGATAATAGTGGTCGCCCAATTTGTGTACATAATTAAGAGCGACAAGTGTAAAGCCACATGGATAGGGTAAGCACGAAGGCGTTTTCGGGGTTGCCGGGATACTTCAAACTGTCGCTGGCGTCGGCGGCGATGCAGTGCTTGGAGATTTGGTATTTTCCGATTATGGTATTGCTTGCTGGATTGCTTGAAAACCCTGAGCTTGCCCTTGACTCCCTTTCCATTTGGTATTACATGCAATTCTGTGCAGTTTTCATTGGCTACGCTAATGAATGATTATTTGATTAATTCAATTTTAATATTGGTTTTATAGCATGACTTTATCTGAATGGATTTTCATGATTTCAGTCGGCTTCAGTGCTGCCGTAAGGTAATTTTAATTTTATACCAATGAAAATTATTCCTTACTTAAACTCATTATCATTTAGAAATGTGTCGATGTGGGACTCAACATAGTGCTGGTTGTTTTTGAAGTGTGAGAGTGAGCAACGAACTGGGAAGCAGACATCCGAAATCGGCAGCATTTTGTGTGTTGGTGGTGACAGCCATTGTGTTCATCATATCAGTATTCTGGGCTGTAGTTGTACTCGCACTTCGCGATGTCATCAGCTACACCTTTACAGAAGGCCCCGTCGTGGCGGCCGCGGTCTCTGATCTCTGTCCACTTCTCGCCCTCACCCTCCTCCTCAAAGGAATCCAGCCTGTGTTATCTGGTACTCTACTTCAATTTTCACTCACCTCCCTCAATTCCACACATATAATTCATGTTGATTTATTTTGGTTTTGCGAAGGCGTGGCGGTTGAGTGCGGGTGGCAAGCCTTCGTGGCCTATGTAAACGTGGGTTGCTTTTATGTGGTCGGAGTTCCGTTGGGTGCCTTCCTTGGTTTCTATTTCAAACTTGGTGTCAAGGTACGTATTCAATTAAATTTGTCAAACGAATCACGAATCTCCAGTCCACTTTGAATATAAGCTATCGTGACTTTGTTTTGGGCTTTTCAAAAGGTCTCATGCAAATGAAGATAGTATTTCACACTTATAAATTCATCATCTTCCACAAAATTAACTAAATTGGGATTCACTTTCAATAATCCTCGATCCTCAACCATTTTATTAGGGTGTAATTGGGTGATTGTGTGCAGGGTATATGGGTGGGCATGATCGGTGGAACCTTTGTGCAGATAGTCCTTCTGATATGGCTCATATTTCGAACAGATTGGATTAAAGAGGTAAGCATGATATATATATATATGTGTGTGTGTAAATTAGGAATGTTTATCATGCCTTATTTAATTTAACCCAAGAAAATTAACTAAATTTTTATGAAATTGCAGGTGGATGAAGCAGCTAAAAGATTAAACAAGTGGGACGACAAGAACCAAATTATTTTGAAGAATTGATTTCTTTACATTCCAATAATTTAAGAGATCACATCTTGAATGTAGAAATTAATTTTAAAATAATATGATTTCTTATTAAAGTTGCTCCTCCATGGCGCACAAAAGAAGTAGAAAATAATATATTTAGAAAAAAAAAATATGAAACAATTTAAAATATAAATATTACTTTCGTCTTCAATTTACTATTTTTTTTTTTCATTTATCTGTCATAGATGGAGAATCTCCATGTTGGTCTTGACCTCGCCAATTTCACAAATTATTAAATGGGCATCTTGGGTCATGATCTTCTTCGTAATGCCAATTTTTTTTTTTTTTTTAGAATTTGTGTTGAAAATTATTGAAATAAATAGTTCTATACTAACCGAGAGGAAGATCATGGATAAAAGAAAAATCACAAGAGTTTATATTCAGAACAGAGGTTAGTGGTTACTAATATTTTGGTGGCCAAATTATAATAAAAATACATAAATATCATAACATGTGGTATGTTATTTTTAATATTTTGGTCGTCAAATAATAATATGTAATGGGAGTGAAAGAAATGGTGGTACCCATCAAGTATAATATGATTGTAAGGAATTGAACGGTGGAGGTTGTGGTAGCTGGCAGGAATGGACGAGATTCTTCAAACTCCCCCCCCAATAGATTTTTATTATTATTATTATTTTTTGTTTTTCAATCCCCTAAAAGTTGGATCACGCACAAAACAACTTCACCATGTGACCCCACGTGGGCGCTATACAATTGTGTCTAAAATATAAATATTTAATATATAAATGAAAGGAATTCTCACGTGGGAACGAGAAAATGGAGATTTTTTCAATTAATTAACTAATAGTAGTTATTATTTTTGTCTCTATTCATGACTGATCAGCTTATCTTCAAGTGCTGGAAAACGTGATGTGGGTAGGTTGAATGAAAAGGAAAGCTTATGATATAAAAAAAAAATATATATATATTTATTTCCTTTTATCTCTTAATTATAATTTTTTTTAAACCCCATAAAATCAGCATATATCAATATATATTTAAATTTTATAGCTTATATGCATGTTTTAACCACTGATATTAAATTTATAAAAAAAATAATATATCAGCTAATATTCCATTTAATCGAAAATAAAAATGTAATATATTGGAGCGGTATTTAAAATTTAGAGCGGTTAGCAAAAGAATACAATAATTGCCCGGTGGTAGGTAAGGGCAGGATTAAGAATAAAATAATGTAGTGTCTTCCTTCCCATCAGTACTGTGGCTGAACGGCTTTTTACGGTGGGGTAAAAGTAAAACGTGAAAACTACCGCGGGGTAGACTCGGACTTCAAATTTGAATACACCAATTTTGATTAGGAGTTGGTACTACAAATTTTTAATTCAAAATATTTGCTTGCCCAAAAATGGCGAAATTAATTCATAAATATTAAAATTTAAGGAGCTATTTTTTATATAGTTTAACCATCTGTTTGGCGCAGTAAAAAGTAATATAAGTGGCGGACAATCGGCCAGCTCTCGCTGTTACCCGGAAGGCTCTTAGCTGACCTTGGTTCTTGGGCGAGAAAAGTTAAAACAGAGGGCCTCCGCCGCTACAAATACTTGGGCAACAACGAACAAGGGTGCCCGGGGACAACAAAACAAACCCCTTTCAGGTTGGGAGTAAAGATGGAATCTATCTCTGATGACGATGTTCGTCAAGCGTTGCTGCAGCCGGCGGCGGCGGCATTGTTGTCGTCTCAGTCACTGTGTTCGAATAAGCACGAAGTTAGTGACGAGCTGGAGAGGATATTGTCGGACACGGAGATGCCAGTGGTGGAGCGTTACACTCGAGCTACTTGGATCGAGATTAAGCTTCTACTGTACTTAGCTGCTCCGGCGGTTTTCGTGTATATGATTAACTATGCCATGTCCACCTCCACACAGATCTTTGCCGGCCACCTTGGCAACCTTGAGCTCGCAGCTTCCTCTCTTGGCAACAATGGTATCCAAGTCTTCGCCTACGGTCTCATGGTATTTCATCCGTCTCTCATTTTTTAGTTTCTTCAGCATCATTGCAGCATGGAGTTTCTAACTTCCCTGAAAGCCCTCGTACCAACGGAGATAGTTTCCTCAGTTATAAACCTACGATCTTCATCTAAATTAACAATCCTCCAATCCTTCCCTTAATCAGGGCTCGACATGGTTAAGTTTAGGGTATGGCTTTGATACCATGATAGGAATCACGACTCTCCCGAATGGTATGATATTGTCCACTTTGAACATAAGCTCTCGTGGCTTTGCTTTGGGCTTCTCCAAAAGGCCTCGTACCAATCGAGATAATATTCGTCACTTATAAATCCATGATCTTTCACTAAATTAATCAATGTGTGACTGACTCTCAATAATCCTCAACATGGTATACTTTGTTTAGGGGAGGATTGTTGGGAGTAAGTCCCACTCCGGCTAGTTAGGGAATAATCATGGGTTTATAAGCGAGAACAAAAGCTTGGACCCGCCCAAACAGGGTGTAAGGTTATATTTTAATAGAAAATGAGTGTAAATTTATATATTTATATCACGTATGTTTATATGGGTGGAGTATGTTGTAATACAAAAGAAAATTAATTATTTAGACCTATATGTCCATTGTGGAATGCCCCCATGAAATTGGGTGTCATATCTTAACAATGGGTGGCATTTATTGCGATTGTTAAAGCTATAATTTTTATGAACTTTCTATATATGAAACAGTTGGGGATGGGAAGTGCGGTGGAGACTCTATGCGGACAAGCATACGGTGCAGAGAAATACGATATGCTTGGCATTTATTTGCAGAGATCAGCAATATTGCTAACTTTCACGGGCGTTTTGTTAACAATCCCTTACGTCTTCTGCAAGCCCCTCCTAATCTTTCTGGGTGAATCCGAAGACATTGCTTCCGCAGCTGAAATATTCGTGTATGGTCTGATTCCTCAAATCTTCGCCTACTCCATCAATTTCCCAATCCAGAAGTTTCTTCAGGCTCAGAGCATCGTGTTCCCGAGCGCTTTCATATCGGCGGGGACGCTCGTAGTGCACATTCTTCTCAGCTGGTTGGCTGCGTATAAAATGGGGCTGGGCTTGTTGGGGGTGTCGCTGGTGCTGAGTTTGTCGTGGTGGATTATTGTGGTGGGCCAATTTGTTTACATACTTAAGAGCAGTAATTGTAAGAAGACATGGCGAGGGTTCAACGTGCAGGCGTTTTCTGGGTTGTTCGGATTCTTCAAATTGTCGGCGGCGTCGGCGGTTATGCTCTGTTTGGAAACTTGGTACTTCCAGATTCTGGTTTTGCTTGCTGGGTTGCTCGAAAACCCCGAGCTTGCTCTCGACTCCCTTTCCATTTGGTATTTTTCATTTTTTTCCTGAAATTTTTAACCATTAAGTTCATCTCAGAATTGGGGATAGAGTTTGAGTAATTATAGCCATGCTGTGATTTTGCAGTATGACAATATATGGATGCGTTTACATGATGTCGGTTGGCCTTAATGCTGCTGCCAGGTGTGTTTGAAGCTCCTTTTCGAACATATTTTGTATTGAATTTGCTGTATCTATAATTTCTACACGTGGTGGTTTGCAGTGTGAGAGTGAGCAACGAACTGGGAGGGGGGAATCCAAAAGCCGCAGCATTTTCTGTGGTGGTGGTTGTTGCCATCTCCACCATCGTCTCTGCATTCTGTGCTGTAGCTGTACTTGCACTGCGAGACGTCATTAGCTACGCCTTTACCGGAGGCGCCACGGTTGCCGCAGCGGTCTCTGATCTTTGCCCACTTCTCGCCCTCACCCTTCTCCTAAACGGAGTACAGCCCATCTTAACTGGTAATTAAATTGAACTTCAAAAGCTTAGATTGATTTTAGTGAAACTAGCCATTGATTGTTATGATTTGATCTGCAAAGGCGTGGCGGTTGGATGCGGGTGGCAATCGTTCGTCGCCTATGTAAACGTTGGGTCTTATTACGTTGTTGGAGTACCCTTGGGTGCCCTCCTCGGCTTCTATTTCAATTTTGGCGCCAAGGTATTACAACATTCCGTTTTGGTTGGGTTAATTTGTATCAGGAAGCTTTGTTTATGTTAACGTGTAATGAATACATGTGCAGGGTATATGGGTAGGGTTGATGGGTGGAACTTTGATGCAGACCATAATTTTGGTGTGGGTGACATGGCGAACAGATTGGAATAAAGAGGTAAAGATAATATATGATGATGAAAGGTAATTATAAAAGTAGTGCTGGAGAGTAACACAAGGTTGGAAATGAATTTGGTTGCAGGTGGAAGAAGCAATGAAAAGATTGAGCAAGTGGGATGACAGTAAGCGATTTGTTGAGTAGGCCAGGCAGGCAGGCAGGCAGGCAGGCAGTCTTTTAGAGTTTCTTTAGTTTTAATTGATGTCTTTTAGGGCTTAGGCGTTTGTGGATGACAGTAAGCTCATATTGACTCGGAGAGAATATGAGTCAATATGAGCTTCTTCCTCCTCTTCTCATTCAAAATATTGTTTTCCTTGCTCCGAGTGTGTTCCTTGGTGGTTCTTCGATTTTGTTTGGTACTAGAGTGTTAGGAAACTTTATAGAAGAATAATACCTTTAGATTTAAATTACTCAAGAGCCCCAAAAACGATAAGGAATCAATTCAAGGGAAAGTTTAGAAATGGATTACTTTGATGATCAAGAGTAAAGAAAACTCGTGATCAAGACTATTTAAATGACTCTAGCATGCAAATCTAAACACAAAAAATGCCAAGGAACAAACTCGGGGCGTACGAAGCATAATATGCAACTTTTATTACCCTATTCAAAACCAAATTGTAACTTCGTGGTCATCAATACCATAATAGCCACGGGTTCAAACACAATTCTCTAAAACTTAAATAATACAACAAAAGCTCTTTATATCTAAGCAAGAATCTGGTCATCCATTGTGGCATGATTAAAGCACCAAATACCATCTTTGTGGCATGATTAAAGCACCATATTTGGTATCTTTTTGGAGTTGGTGCCATTTACCCAACTGATAAAAATGTGGTGGAACTGGGAAAGTAATGATGATATTGAACCAAAAAATTATCAAGAAAAGGAAGGAGGTAAGAAAAAGAACTCCCATAAAGTATGTTGCCAATAATCCTTTCTGATACTAAAAGAAACAAGCAAATGTTTCAAAAACAGAGAAAAACCAACAATGCATTATGAACCATCACTTCTTCTTCCCTGCCTTCCCCTCCTTTCTTCTAACAATTTCATCAGCATATTTCACTCCCTTACCCTTATACGGTTCTGGGGGCCTCCATTGTCTAATGGAAGCAGCAAACTGACCAATGGCACATTTATCATATCCACTAACTGTAATTCTGGTGTTTTCTTCCACCTTTACTTGAAGTCCTTCAGGAATGGCCATTCTAACAGGATGAGAGAACCCAAGATTTAATACCAAGTCTTTTCCTTCTAGCATCGCTCGATAACCAACACCGACCAATTGAAGTTTCTTTTCAAACCCCTTTGACACTCCTACCACCATATTGTCCGTAAGGGTCCTGAGGAAGTCAATTTAAATACTCATATATGACACAATTACGTTAACTCTTTTTCCATCAGGGACCATTCATCTGGATTTCAAAAGGACAATTGCTGGTTGTTTGCATTCATAACATGAACTGATCTTAGGGTTCGGAATTTGAAGAGCCACATAAAAACAAGTAACCCATGTAAACTAAAACTTAAGAGGAAGAGAGACAAAATCTAAATGTTTTCGAAGAGTAAACTGAGATTAAACTGATTGGTTTCTGTGATTATAAAATAAAATCCATGATGAGCTTACCTGAAAAGGCCATGCATTTGGTTGGCTCTTCTTGTCTCCAGTGCCTTCTTAACCCTTAGGATCCCAGAATCTTCCCTCTCAATCTTCACTTCTCGTGGATAAAGAATTGAGAGTTCTCCCAAAGGACCCTTAACTTTCAAATCCTGACCCTGCAATGTGATGTTTACATTGGATGGCACTTGAATTGGTTGCTTGCCAATTCGTGATTCCTTGCATTCTATAGTCTTCCTCAAGATACCAGTATGACTTACAGGCATTGTAGAAATGGTGAATCCATTTTTCTCTCCCAAAAATGTAGACCGAAAATTGCTGAGCCACAACGACGAAAATGGTTAAAATTGTAGAATGTTTGTGCTCTGTTAATGCTTTTAGTTTACTGCAACAACTTGGGGAAAGTATTAGACTGAGAAAATGCATAGTTAATCTAAAAATTAGATCAACTAGTTCTTGGTGCCTTTCAGAATTCTTTTCCCTCACTTCGTCCTCCCACTAAGAATTGGTGTTAATAGCTGGCTTCTTTCGTAATCAATAAGACAGCTCCATATTGAATCTTTCACCTTATCATGAAGATTTACCCAACCAAACTGGAAAGCTTGTTCCCTAAAGGAGAAGCCACTCAATTTAGGCAGTCTTCCCCTTTTTTATATTGATTAAGATAATCTCCATAGATGATTAACTCTCCACTTAACTACCATTATTGAAATACTAGGTTGAAATAAGTAAGCCGGAATGACCTATAAATTTCATCTACAAGCGAGCTCAAAATTCATCTCTGGATCCCCTAATGCAAAACAAATCATATGCAGATGCATAGCAAACCAGCATTACTACTACTACTACTGTGTAGAATTATTGAAAATTCACGGTTCGTTCACAAAGGTCCCGTAAAAGTATACTTGAAATAACTCGAATTATAGATATTTCTAATTCCTGATTATATCAAAATGGAAGACACGCCTCTAATCAGCAATGAGTTTCAAGAAACTCTCAAATTGACAAGAAAGGCAAAAACTTACTTAGCAATCAAACTTCGATGATGAAGACACGGAGTAGAAGAGACCGCCATTTTCAGTCGCCAATAGAACACCCAATACGAGAGAGAGAGAGAGAGAGAGAGAGAGAGAGAGAGAGAGAGACCCCTTCAGGGTCCGATTCCGAAGAAGATGACACAGCGCCTTGCAGACAAGGAGTTGCCGAGAAGGATAAGGTGCAGACAGAATTCTGAACTGGAACTTTTGGGCTTCAGTGAGACACTGGGCCGTAGTATGTATGATTAGTGGACTCTAATGAGGCCCATTTTTTGTTTTCTTAAAGAAAAACGAATACACTGGGCCCTATATACGATTCGTGGACGTTAGGCCCATTTTGATTTTTTTTTTAAAATTATTAAAGAAAACGAATTTGCAATTTTGGTCCATTAAAATTTTGAATGGTCCCAAAATTTTCTTTAATCTCGATTACACCCCTCAATTTTGCAATATTATGATTTTACTCTTAAATTTTCGTTAATCTTCAATTGGCCCCTAAATTTTGTAATATTACGATTATACTCTTAAATTTTCTTTAATCTTCTATTGTCCCTAAATTTTGAAATATTATGGTTTTACTCTTAAATTTTCTTTAATCTTCAATGTCCCAACATTTTGCAATATTATAATTTTTCTCTTAAAATTTTCTTTAATCTTCCATTGGTCCCTAAGTTTTACAATATTATAGTTTTACTCTTAAATTTTCTTCAATTTTCATTGGTCCCTAAACTTTGCAATATTATGGTTTTACTCTTAAATTTTCTTTAATCATCAATTGGTCCTAAATTTTGAAATATTATAGTTTTACTCTTAAATTTTCTTTAATCTTCAATTGATCCCTAAATTTTGCAATATTATAACTTTACTCTTAAATTTTCTTTAATCTTCCATTTGGTCCCTAAATTTTGCAATATTATACCTTTACTCTTCAATTTTCTTTAATCTGCAATTGGTCCCTAAGTTTTGCAATATTACGATTATACTCTTAAATTTTCTTTAATCTTCCATTGTCCCTAAATTTTGAAATATTATAGTTTTACTCTTAAATTTTCTTTAATCTTTAATGTCCCAACATTTTGCAATATTATGATTTTACTCTTAAAATTTTCTTTAATCTTCAATTGGTCCCTAAGTTTTGCAATATTAAAGTTTTACTCTTAAATTTTCTTCAATTTTCATTGGTCCCTAAACTTTGCAATATTATGGTTTTACTCTTAAATTTTCTTTAATCTTCAATTGGTTCCTAAATTTTAAAATATTATAGTTTTACTCTTAAATTTTCTTTAATCTTCAATTGGTCCCTAAATTTTGCAATATTATAGCTTTACTCTTAAATTTTCTTTAATCTTCCATTGGTCCCTAAATTTTGCAATATTATAGCTTTACTCTTCAATTTTCTTTAATCTTCAATTGGTCCTAAGTTTTGCAATATTATAGTTTACTCTTAAATTTTCTTTAATCTTCCATGAGTCTCTAAACTTTTCAATTTTACTCTTAAATTTTCTTTAATCTTCCATGGGTCCCTAAACTTCGTAATATTATGGTTTTACTCTTAAATTTTCTTTAATCTTCCATTGTTCCCTAAATTTTTCAATATTATGTTTTTACTCTTAAATTTTTTTTTAATATTCCATAAGTCCCTAAATTTTGCAATATTATAGTTTTACTCTTAATTTTTTTTTTTAATGTTGAATGGGTCCCTAAATTTTGCAATATTATATAATTTTATTCTTAAATTTTCTTTATCTTTAATTGGTCCCTAAATTTTGCAATATTATAGTGTTACTCTTCAATTTTCTTTAATCTCATTTCGTTCCTAAATTTGGGATATTATAGTTTTACCCTTAAATTTTCTTTATTTTTCAATTGGTCCCTAAATAATTATAGTTTTACTCTTAATTTTTTTTTTCCTTTAATTTTAAAGGAGTCGTGAACTAGACATTTGACCAAAAAAAAGTTGAAAAAATTCTTAGTTAATTAATCAATGTTTGTTTAAAATATGTGCGAATCCCTCAAATAATGAAATTCACTATCCCTACCTCAAATCCCCATTTCGCCCACCAAAATCGATCGCTCTTGAGAAGAAAGCTCTGTGGAAACATGGGCGCTCTTCTCAAGCTCGTCGACGCACTACTGTTCCTCGCCTTTCTCCTTCTCGCTTTGGTATCGCCTCTCATCGATTTCCAGGTTATATTTCCTCGAACCCTTTTCCCTCATTTTCTGATCGATCTCAAGACCTGGTACATCCGCCAATCGGGGGACTATATAATGGCCGACTCCCCTCACTTCGTCGTTGGCCTCGTTTGGCTCGAGCTTCTCTTTCAATGGCCTCTCCTGCTTCTCAATCTCTACGCTTTCTTGGCTGCCAAGACATGGTACAACACCACTTGCTTGATATATGGCGTTTCTCTAGTGGCTTCCATGGTATTCTTCTATTCCACCTCCTACCAATTTGGCTACTACTCAAATCTATTGTTTAAATGAATCAATACCCTTTTGCCTGCACATTGTGTTTCTGTTAATTGCACAACGGTTCTGTTGTGAGTTTAGTTTGTAATTGGCACCAAAAAACAAAATCCCATTTCTTGATGCTTGTTGTACTTAGTTTGGGGGTGTTGGATTCTGGATAGCCACATGATGCAAGTTAATATCTGTGATTTGAGATTTCCTCTGCTAATTTTCATGTTGTTTTTCAGAATTTTGGCGAAACTTGTCAATTAATAGCTTGTACTTGATCATCTTAATTAGTGTTTTTAAAAGAAGCATTGAAGAAATTTCTTATCAGGCTGGAAACTGATTTCTTGTCGATATAATGTGAGATCCCACGTTGGTTGAAGAAGGGAACGAAATATTCGTTATAAGAGTGTGAAAATCTCTTATCAGTGGACGCATTTTGAACCCTTGAGGGGAAGTCCAGAAGGAATAGCCCAAAGAGAACAATATCTACTAGTAATAGGTTTGAGCTATCACAAATGGTATCAAAGCTAGACACCATGCGGTGTGTCAGCGAGGACGCTGGCTCCCAAAGGGGTGGATTGTGAGATCTCATATTGGTTGGAGAAAGGAACAAAACTTTTCTTATAAGAGTGTGAAAACCTCTCCTTAGTAATCGCGTTTTACAACCTTGAGGGAAGTCGTGAAGGATAATCCCAAAGAAGACAACAGTGGTGAGCTTGGGCCGTGCCAGTACATAAACTAAAACTAAGGCTTCAACTTTTAGGACTTTTAGGCAATCAGGCATTTAGATTAGTAGTGCATTTGGGATAAGGTTCAAACATCTTCCGAGTACTCTTTACATATTTCAAACACTTTGATATTCTGCTTGAATACATGTTGCAAAGGATTTGTTCTGCTTCATTTGTTAACCTAGCTGAAGAGATCCATTTCTTGTAGGGAAATGTTGCTTATTCTCTGTTTCTTCTGTAATTTCAGTCTGCCATATTGGGTGAAATGGTTGGATCGAACCGAGCATCTAATACTCTAATGACAATATACTACCCCTTCTTGGGTTTGGGAGTTTTGGCCATGCTACGTGGGCTCGTGGCGTGCTCGAGCAAGGCTACGATCACCGGCACCAGACCCTCAAATGGCAGGAAAAAGAGAGCTTAAAGAGCCATCCTACATCACCAAAAGAGACCCTTTTGAGCTGTATCACCTCATCTGCAACCGTTTTGGTTTTTAGCACTAGCTGATGATGTTAGTTCTTTAGGTATTGATGCAGCTCTGTCTATGGATCATTCAGCATTTGCCTCTCTGATGTTCCATTAAGTCTTTGATAATGGTTCAAAGGGACCCTTTTGAGCTTTGAATGAAAATAAGGTACTAACTTGATCGAATGTAGAGGAAAGCTGACCGAAATTGATCAACACTGACTTGATCGAACGATTTGTTCGTTTTAAAATCGTGTTAAATCCTATTAATTAAAGTTACTGAATTATTGAACTGTTGTTCTATTAAGATTCGACTTGTCCTAGTATGTACAAGTGTCGTGCAAATGCATCTAAATGTGTTAACAAAACAAAATTGGTAGTAAATACGCCAATTTATGTATAACTCACAGATTAAGACTAAACCCGAATATTAAATCACTTACAACTCACAGATTAAGACTAAACCCGAATATTAAATCACTTACTTAAAATGATTAAAGAGAAGTGAAAGTGAAGTAGAGGAAGACGTCAAAGAAGATGCGATGGCCACAAAGTCCAAACTTTGGAACGGGACAACACACAAGAACCCAACGTTGACCAAGTTTTCTGCGTTTGACTCCGTAAACAAAATCATCATCACTTGATGGAAGTCCGAATCGACGGCCAGCAGTGAGCCAGGCAGGAGAGGAAGGGCCGCGACTGCGACAACTTGGCATTGCCTTTCGGGTGATGACAGCCCGAATGAGACCCTCAAGGTCGAATAACTAACTCCACGACAAAACAACCTACGTCAGCCTCTGGTCCACCTTTGCGTCCACGTGTCACATCGATGAGAAATTCGACCTTTTTCAAACGCCAAACCAACCACTCTTTTTTTGTCTGCTGCGCGTTGCTGGACACGAATTCAAATTTTTTTTTTTTTTTTTTTTTTTTTTTT